GGTGTGGGGTGGGGGGAAGGCTGCAGGGGGGTCTGGGGGTGGTGCGGGAAGGCCTGGGAGCGGTGGCGGCAGGAGGGAGGGAGCGGGTGCCCGCAGGGAGCTGCCTCGCACCCCGCCGGCCTTTGGGCCTGGAAAACACGTTTCGGTTAAAAACAAACGTGTTTATAAGGTGAAAGACTCCTCTGTGCTGTCGTGAGGCGAATGGCGCGCTCAGGACTGGCTCCTTGGTTGCTGGACGCCTCTTTTGGTTTTTCTGCCGGCTGAAAAAAACAAACCGAAACTTATTTTTCTCAAAAGTGATTTGGTTTTGGGGAGTTAAAAGGACCCGAATGTTGTTCTCTGTGGGGTTGCTGTAGGCATGGAAGTGGCAGTTACGGAGGCAGAAACATGATCCTCGTGGTACTCTAGTGCATAAATATTTTAAATCTTTCTAGGGCATCTTAAAATAATACTTGGGGAATATATTACATTGTTAAAAAAATAAATCAGCCTGTCAAGCCAGCTGAAGTTTCAAGTTAGCTTTCATCTCTACATCTGCTACCTATTTCAAGAGTAGCATGGTCTGTGTCTGCTCAGGCTGCTGAGTTATACCCTGTGTGGGACCTGGAGCAGTTGTGATTAAAGGGCACAGTTAGATTGTCTTTTCTGGTTAAGACATAAATGTTCCCTTTGTTTTACTTAATTGTGCTGTGTAAAATAACAAGGAGCACTGAGGTAGAGCAGCCTTGGGGGTTGGCACAATGGGAAGGGAGAAGCTGTGTCCCCAGTGAGATCAGGCACCCTGAAACACAAACTGATGCACAAGGGGTAATACTATAGCCCAGTTTTCTCAGTCAAGACAGTGAGGAGCATTTCTCACAACTGTCATAACGTTTTTCTGGGTATGTTGTTACCAGTGTAGCTACAGATGTGTCTATCCTGTCCTCTTCATTCCGAACCTTGCAGCAAATACTGGTAGAATGAAAGCAACAGACTCTGGAAGGGATTTCTCACTTGGTGTATTCCTTCTGCTGACTTCTCCCCTGCACCTCCTCCACTTTGTCATCAAATAGCTCATCACCTTAAGCTTAGTGTCTTTACTTTGAGGGAACTTGCAGATCCATCTTTGCTGCACTGTCAACTTCATTGTGTGTCACAAACATCGGTACCATCTTTTTTAAAATGCATATGGGCACACACATACATGTATATACATTTTAGATTAACCCCTTTCTGCTTTCCCGGTGCTGTTTACAGTAGGAGCTCTTTGGAGATTTCTGTCTCATTTCTTTTCCTCCAAGTTTTTCCTTTGAGCCTTCCTTTGCTACTGAGTATTTAAAAAAAACCCCAACAACAAAACCCTTGATGTCTTGACATACCAGAGGCCTGACTAATGTTTCCTTGTTACTGTTTTCATTCTGCCTGAATTCACCTGTAGCTTGTTTACATATTTGAATTGTGAGTTATTTGGGGTAGATAACTTCAGTTTACAATTATACTCAGAAATAAGCCAGAAGAATTCTCCTAGTGCATGTTTAGGAAGTGACAGAGGGCAGAAATAACTTCTAGTAACAGTGTTTATAATTCCCTCCCATATTTAGTGTGTGGTTGAAAAGCCAAGTCCGGCAGCCGAATGATGAACTCTTGGTGTTCTGATAAAGGAACTGCTGGCTGTGTCTGTACTTGGAGCACAGCTTCCCTCTAGCTGGACCTCAGACAGCATTGCCTGTCAGGAGGCCCGTGTCCTGACTGCAAAAACCACGAGCTTCTTGGGAGAAGCTTGCATGCATACCTGTTAGGTTACAGTTTTTTACCATCAGGTGCATTTAAGAGCTTCAACATGTTGAGAATAAAAACGTTCTAGGACAGACATCCGCTTGCTGAGTTGCTCTTGGAAAACACTCAGCTTCCTTGTAGGTGTGCCAGGTGCCTCATGAAGGCTAACCACTGCCCATGCATGCACGTGTGGGCAAGTGCTGTGCTCACTGTGCAAACGGGTCTTGTTTGTGTGCCCTGGATGGGCATGGGCAGGAATTCAGGCACTGTTGTATCACTGCTGTCTTGGAATGAGGCCCTGTAGGCTCTGGGACTCGGGGAGGGAAGTCTGTGTCCCTTTCCCAAAGCTGTGGGTGCTGATGAAGTTGTCTCTAAAGGGAAGGGAAATGTGAGATTTGTTTATGTGGTGAATCAAGCTGTTGCCAAAAGAGAATTAATCTGATTGCAGCTGTTCAAGTATGTGCCCACTCATGTTCTAGTCGGTGTCTAGAAATGATCCCATCAAACACATTATCGTTATGATTAAATTGCATTGAAGTAATCTGAACTGCATGTCAGGCACTTAATTATTTACAGTGCCCTCTTTATTGCTGCTCTCTTACGTAGGTAAAGGACGTAGTTGTGTATTTGCACCTCTCTCACTCTCTCCAGCAACTGTCTCCTGTAAAGCTCCTTGTTTTCATGGAATCTAATGATTACAGCTGTGGCTTGTGCTGTGGTTCATGGAAAACCTCACGCTGTTAAAACCATCCATGCAACTGAGAGAAAGGAAACTGCCTTCTCCCATCCTGGCAGAAGTGCCCAGCTGCACTGTGTGCCAGTGAGGAAAAAAATGATTAGTGTTTAAATTCACCCCTTTTTTTTCATCAGACTAATTTGACCTAGAATTACTCTGGCTGCAGCGGATAGTGAATGCTGTAGAGGAGGCACAGCTGTTCCTGCCATGCTTAAGCAACTCAGCATAAGTTGTGTTGTAGGGTCAGTTGGTGGACCTTGAGGTTGCAGAGCAGTAGAATTCCAGTGGAGCAGTTCCCTTGGAGTCCTGTAAATACTGGCACTAATTAATGTATCAGTCTGGGACTTCTTTCATCCGAATACTAGCAAGAGCACGATGTTGTGGCTCTGTCAGCAGCTGCTGGGCTTGGGTTTACACAATTTCTTCATTTTGTGACATTCAGCCTGTCCTAGTTTGGGTGACTGGTTGGTAAGTCAGGGTTACATTTGCTACTGATGGAGCAGGTGCTGTCCCAGACAGTGTCAGCACCTCCCCAGGCTTATCAGCTCTTAAGAGGGATGTTTAGTGATGGAGCTGTGCAAAATGCTGTTCCAGGCTTGGTTTCTGAGTGTACCAAAGCTAGTGTTGTGTCTCAGCTCTTGAGAGCTGAGTCTGTTTCCCTTGGGAAGGGTGTCAGGCAGGTACTTTTGTAAAGCAGCAGTGAAATTTTGATGGAATAAAATTGTGCATGAGATCACTGAGGTGCTGACTGAAGGTGCTTTCCTGGCTGACCTGAGAGTCTGGCTCCTCTCACTTTGTCACAGCAGCAAACCTCTTTTATCTCACTGATGTCTGTTAAAGCTTAGACTCTTCCGTGTCAGGATCCTGCTAGCCAAAGACCAGCAAGCAGAAGGTTACTGTCTCTTTTCAGCTTCCTCATAAAGAGCTTTCTATTTATTTTTTTTTCTCCTGGAATAGATAGATTCTAGTTTCTGTGCTTTATTGGAACTGTTTTTCTGCAGGCTCCTCTTCCTCTGCCCTTGGTCTGCTGCATCCACGTTTCCTATCTGATTTTTGAGCTGCCTTCTTCTTGGTGTGAAGACAATCATTGAGTCAAAGGAAAGTCTGTGCTGTAAGAGCTCTCTGGAGGTGACCTGGTCCAACCTCCTGCTCAAAGCAGAGATAACACTGGAGTTCGATAAGGTTGCTCAGAACCTTGTCCAGAGGAGTTTTGAAATGATGTGTGTTGTCACACAACTGCACTTTCTGCTTATCAGCTGAATGAAATCCAGCAGGGTTCTCAGGAAGGCTGTCAGGGGCCTGGTTAGCTTTCCTCATGGTGCTTTTTGCCATTAGACCCACTGTCAGAGCTGCTGGAGCTGTCTGGCTCTATTCTATTCACCTCTTGAAGGGCTGGGTGTTGTTTTTGGTGTTGGTATTTACTGATGTAAAGAGAACTTATGTAGCACTATATGTATATGTGTGTCTATATCCCATGGAAGTGCTTGATAAGGTGAGGAGGATGTTTACCTCTGGTTTGCATAATTTGAATTTTCTTGGTACATGGTCTGGCTCATTCTCTGGTTTGCTCCCCACTAACATTGTTAGTTCAGTCCCTTAACAAAGAATAGCTGCATCCAGTATTCTTTTGGCTCACAGATGTTACAAAATCTATTAATAGAAAGTTTGGCTTAGCTACAGTGTGCATAATGAGCTAGGATATAGCTGTGATGCTGCTAGTGGCCTGCAAGAATAATTTGTTCTATGTGTTGAATAGCTCATTGAAAACTACAGAGAAACCCTGCCTGGGCCTGCCTGTCTCAGTCCGAGGTGTTACCACACTGCAGTGTGCTGGCAGCATCTGTGGCAGCCTGTCCCTGCTCCACTGGCACCTTCCAGATGTGCAGTGCATCACCCCTGGCCTGCACCAAGTGCTCGTTGCTAATGTGGTGCTGTGAAGTGTCCCTGAAACCACGTGCCTTTGTTGCAGTCACAAAAGAAATTTGGGGTTATGTTAAATGTCACTAAGAAAACGTCTGCACAGATAAACAGAGTAATTCAGTTAGCTGGAATAATTTTGTGGCCTTAGGCTGCAGAAATAAAATGCAGCAGAATGCTGGTACCAGCATTAATTCAGAAAAACAACTCAATGTTATAGAGCACATTTAACAACAGAAGCACAAAATGTGTCAGGTGCACAGCCAGGAAAGCAGGGTCTTGTTTGCAGTGTCTGCTAATAATCTCAGAAGCTTTCTTTGGAAAAAAGGCATTAGGCAACCAAAAGGCTTTTTTGTTGTGAAGTTACTGTTACAGTGTTGTACAAATTATCAAGTATTAGTAAAAATTTTGTACTATATTCCTGAGAAATTACTAAAACGGACTCTTAAAGTATTAATCAGTATCATTCAAGCAGCTTTTAACCTAGATATGTCATTCTTTGTAAAACACCAGACTTTTCAGACCATGATAAGTATGGAAGTTTGGCTTATGTCTTTCTTGAAGATACAGTTGTATGTTTTTTACTGCAGTAAGTTTCAAGACAAAATAGACTCCCTTGGTGGATGAAGTGTGTCTCAGATATATTTCAAGAAGTGTAATCCAAATGCTTACCTACAAAAATGTAACTGCTGTAGTGTATTGTAGAGTGTTCCTTGGTCAGTCCCTGTAACTGAAGTTTGTTAACACAGTGTCTGAATTGGGTGTGCAAACACTTGAAGGAGTGATAATAGATTCTATTACTTTCAATCTAATGTGTTTCTATTTCTGTTGTTTGTTTTAGGAAACACTCCGTTACACCTTGCTGTGATGTTGGGACATAAAGGTAGGTAAAACCCATCAATTTTGTTATCCCTTAAATTATCCTGAAGATTTAGGGCCAAGAGGCAAAAAAGATTATTTTTTTTTCAGTTTTCCTGAGAAGGATCTTGTGTTTCAAGTGAGCTCAAAGCTGAGGTTTTCTGAAAAGAAGATGCAGCTTTAGAGGAGAAAAGCTGGAGAAGAAATGAGAGCTGTTCTTTAGGCCTAAACCAAGGAGCTAGGTAGTATAGTGAGTGGGGTGGGAAGGAGCTGGAGCAATTGGACTCCTTATGAGCCTAGAAGAAGAAGAGTGGGTGGACCCAGCCCCTTTCTTTCTGCAGTTAGAGGGGAATTGGGAAACGTGGAGAGTCACAGGAGGCTGGGAAACAACTGGGAGCAGGCGAGGCAAGCACGTGCATGCCTGCCTCCCTGCTGCTGTCCAGGCAGCTGGAGCTGGGGGTCTGCTCAGTGTGTGCAGGCAGGGGACTTAATTCAGGCAGATCCCTGTTTCAATGTGCAATTAATTCATGGTACAGCAGGGACATTATTTTCAATGTGCCTGACAATGCCCTTTCTCTTAGTCAACACTTCCCTGGTTATTGGTGTCACTGCCTGCTGCTGCTCTGCTCACTAGAGCTGTTGTACAACCCTGTTTAGCTTTTTCCCAGTGAAGTGCATCAGAATAACATCCTCTGGAATAAAATGTCTGAGTGGAAATGTCATCCCTCACCTGCTTTTTGCATACTCCTTCACTCACTTGATTCCAGTTCCTGACTTGCTGCCTGGCCGTTCCCTCAGCCTGTCCATCCACCATGGCTCTCATCTCTCTAGTTATCCTTTGGGTATCTTTACAGCAGAATTCCAAGGCACATGATTTACTTTTCTACTTCAGATAGAAAGTGTAGAAGTAGATGTGTTTCACGACTGGGAAGAGATCTGAAGTCTGATTGTTCAGTCTCTGACAGTGCAGTTCTTTCTCACTGCTGAAGCCAGGCTGGCTCGGTGTCATTCAGCTGTGTGAGCCCTGTGCCTGATGTGTGACTCTGCTCCATGGAAGAGCTGCTGTGGCCCAAAACACCTGGCAGATTGGGAGAGGGGAATGCAGGAAATGCAGGAAGTTGTCTTATGATGTTTTGGTAATACTTATGAAGTGATCAAAGATAATTGGATGTTAGAGTGGGAAGTAATTTTGAAGGAGGAAGGGAGAGAGGTGGCTGGAATCTGCCAATATTGGGGTAGTGTGGGATAATTTTTAAATACTTTTTTTAAAAGAAGAAAATTTAAAAAGGTCTGCAAAACCTTTTTGAGACAGCAGTGAGGCAGGTATGTTCTACATGTGCCTGCCTGCTGGAAGTCAAATAGGAGTTGTTTTCAACTTGTGAAAAATGGTGCTTTATGACAAGTGCTGTTTTCCAGTGAGTCCTAGCCTAGAGGCTTAAGAACAGCAGAAGGAATCAGAGGCAGAAGCCTTTCTGTAATTTCTCAGCCTTAAATGAGGCATTTTTCGCCTTCCGTATAGCTACAACAGTATCATACTGCATTAATAAAGGCATTTTTCACCTTCCATATAGCTACAACAGTATCATACTGCATTAATAAGTACAAGCAATTTGGATCAAAGGTGCTTCTTCTGATAGCACCGATAGAAGAGAGTTCATCAACTTCAATTCAGGTGGTTGAATATTTATTCTAAATCTCCCTTAATCTTTCAGCTGTAGGATAAAAAGCAATCTATTCAGTGCTGACATGTTCCCTGAATGAGTTCCCTTCCTGCATAGGCCAGTGAGCAAAGGCATTTCTTCCCTTTACTCCTTTTCTTGTTGGCCACATGCTTTAGATGTCAGTGAGCAGTTCACCTCTTGGCTTCTTTCCATACAGTCAGTCATCCTGTGTGTGAAGTCCCAGATCCTGGAGGGTGTGTATGGTGAGCCTCTGCCTGGCTCACCTAGAGCAGGGCTCTGTGCACAACACCCAGCACCAGCCCTGGTTTCACTGTTTCTCTTCTGACTCCTGTGTAGTTGTTGGCCCTGTTGATCTGTCTGGTTGGTACCAAAGGCATCTTTTCTGTCTCTCAGGAGATGCACACAGGCTGTGCAGCTGCAGACAGCAGCCCTGTAGCCAGGCTTTTCTGAAGTGCAGGGTGAATTTACATCCTGTTTGTTTAACTGGAAATGTGATCTGGCTGGGAAATGCAAGCTTGGGTGCCTGCTCACTGCAGTGTTGGTGCCGTGTTGGGCACTGTATTTAAGCAACCATAAAAATACTTCTCTATGTTTGCTGACAAAGTAGTCAGGGCTTTTGTTTGTTAACCACCAAAGACTATATTCACCAGTGAAGTATCTCTTCCTTTCCAAACACTGTCCTTGTCAGTGACTCATGGTTGTTGCATCTGGCATGACTTGTACAGTTTCCTGTAACACCTGTAGTAGGAGAATAATCTAGGAAGTTCCTCTATCTGCCATGCCTGCCCATCCTATTTGTAATTCTTCAGGCCACAGCTCTGGCTTGGTGCTGCTCTATCATTTGCAGGTAGGTCAGGTTGATTTTAATGAGACGTGGTGGGGAAACTTCTTGGTGAGAAACAGGAGAACTGTTTCAAACCAGGACAGCTTATTCCAAACAGGAAAGCCCTGAAAGCTTTCTTCTCTCCTGTGTTTTAAGCACTATTCATCATTCCACCATCACCTTTTACCCCAGACAGAGAAGGCAATGCCAGTTGAGCTGTGACTCTCGAGGCAGCTGGGTGGCTTTGCTGAGGTGTTAGCACTGCTGTGTGGGCACAGTGTGCCTGCTGGGTGGCAGGGAAGATACCACTGCCTGCAGGTGCTGGTGAAGAACCACATATCACATGGAGCTCTCTGTTGGTGGAGCACAGCCCCAGGAGTGCTCTATTATCCTCCAGGTATCCTTGTTGTCAGTCCCACTGTTCCTATTCCTGGCTGTACAGCTGGTTGTTAACGTGTTCTGGGGCTTCTCCAGGTCAGTGTGCTCCTTTGCCCACTTCAGATGCCAGGTTGCCACACAATGTTGCAGCACGTAGGGGTGTGTTAGTGCCACAACTCCCTCTGCCCCCCTGCACGCAGGGCTCTCACAAATTGCCCTCAAGTCCATATTTCTGTGCATGTTTCTAGCAAATCAGTTCATCGTTGACCTTTGGGCAGAGGGGGCTGAAAGGGGGGGAAAACATGCACAACTTTCCTGTGTGCAAGACCACAGAGTGTGTCTTATGTGCGTTAAGCAGAGACCTGGTGCAGTGTTTTAAAAATATTTGTTAAATAGTCGTGTGTGCACATATGCACACACAGCTTTATAAGAAGCAGAAGGGACATCTCTTCAGAGGTTGTGTTGATCACCAGTTGTTTTTAGTGCTAGTATCCAGCTTTGAGTTCTTGACATAAATGTGTGTTGTTTTTTTTAAGTTTGAGTCAGAATCTAGGTATGTATTGTGAGAAACTGTTTAATGTATTCAGTATCTACAATTGCTTTATTATTGTTTCCTTTACAGTGAATCATATTGTTACATCCTTGATGTTTACTGCAAATAATTATTCCTGTTTTGTTCCAGAATGTGCCCACTTGCTTTTAGCCCATAATGCTCCCGTAAAGGTGAAAAATGCTCAGGGATGGAGCCCTCTTGCAGAAGCCATCAGCTATGGAGACAGGCAAATGAGTAAGAACCTCTGCTTCCCAATTAATCAGAAATTGAGGCTTCATTCAGTAAAGGAAAACGAAGGTTTTCACCTAGGGGTTTTTAAATGCTCCTATTTTAGTTCTCTGAAGAGTTTATCTTAATCAGCTGAACTTTTTATGTCTAAATGTGATATGACAAGCTCTACATGTGTCCATTTCCTTGATAAGAAAGAAATGGCATCAGGGTACATAATGTTAAGGTTTTGCCTGAAGTGGCTGTAAAAGCTATGAACTAGGATTATGTATTTCAGATTAGAGTTAGAAGGTCAGAATGGATTTTAGCTGTATGGGATCATCTCCCTAGAACTGCCTCCACTCCTAGTGTAGTTTGCAATACACTAACAACATTCTGCATGTCAATATTAAAGAATTTTCTCAGTGGGAGCAGCTGTTCTGCCATCTACAGGCTCATGTTCAGTAATATACACATGTACCCACATGTTTACTAACAAACATGTAGAAGGCCTCTTGACAGGACTGTGTGCTTTGCATTGCAAACAATCATTGAGGCTTTTCTTGTTGTCATCAAGGCAGGCTTGAAGTCAGTTTCCCCAAAGTCTGATGAAATGTTACATTTGGATTGTTTGGGTTTTTTTGTAAGATGTCAAATAGTGACACTAACACGTAGTTACCAAACAAACAGACTAGATGTACCTCACAGTCCATTTCTGTTCAGTTACAGCACTCCTAAGGAAGCTGAAACAGCAGTCCAGGGAAAGTGTTGAAGAAAAGCGACCTCGATTATTAAAAGCCCTGAAAGAGGTAAGTTCAAGGCAGTTGTGGTGACAAAACCAGCTGATGATGGAAAGCAGTGGGTTATGTTCTTAGGATGGATGCTCTAGCAAGCTGTTTTTTACTTGCTTTTACAAATGTCTCTTGCTCTTAATAGCAATCCTGGCTTACAGTGTTCATTTTGAGGGGTCACAGAATTAAGTGGGTTTTCAAGATATTTTCTTCTCAACTCCTAGAAATTCAAATAGCAAGGTTAATGTAAGGCAGAGCTGCTAGCTGTCTTTGCAGTCTAAAACTTAAAACTAGTATCTTTAATCTGTGTTTATTTCTCTAGATTTTTAAGACTTCAGTTCTTTTGTCTCTGTGAATAATTTCCTTTTTTTTTAGTCACCAATCATGAATGCTTTTCTTGCTTAGTAATGAAAGAGATTTTTGGTTTCATTCTCACTCTACATGCATCAGCCAGTTCTTCTTTAGCACAGTGAACATTCCTGAGTTCAGGGAAGCCAAGAAGAAAAGCCCAGCTTCCCCTGTTTCAGACTGCAGCTAGTGTGCTAAAACTGTGCTTATAAAACACCGGTGTTTATTTCCCTCTAGGTGGAGTGAGCATCTCCTGCCTAGTCAAATGGTAAAATGTGAATGGGTTTGTAGAAAACCAACTGTTTATCTTAATTAAACCAAAGATCTGAAAAGTTGAGCTGATGTCTGTCAGTGATACACTCCATGAGTACACTCTGCCCAATGTTCCTGCCTTTGTCATTGATCCAAGAGAAAACCCAACATGCTGCCTGTCTAGGAGTGAAAAGCTTTCAGGATCTGTGTCAGAGCAAACAGAAGGCAAATCCACAAGGAGAAGGCAGATCCACAAGCAGAAGGCAGACCCACCCTCACTAAAACAGCTCTGTGAATCCTTACTCCTGGTGCAACTGCTGACCTAGAGTTGAGTCGTCGTCTTCTTGTGTGGAGTGGAAGCATGTGGCTGCCTCAGTGTCTTACCAGCATTTGCTAATTTCAGTCAAGTCACCTCTCATTCTGCTTTTGCTTTGCGTACAGGCTAAAGGAGTTGCCTGGCATGTTTTTATGGAGGTAGAGGAATTTTTATAGGATGACTTAAGCATATTCCGGAAGGCAAATTGTAATTTGTGTGTGTGAATACTCCTGGCTGGAACCTGACTCATTGATTTAAGCCACAATATATAATTCCATGGGGTTGGATGAGATCAATCAAAGCAAGCAAAGAGCTCCATGCATCTTATTTTAAGCACACATTGTAATAAATATTTTACAATCCACATCTTAATTGCTGTGTGAATTGTTATTTTAGAAAATTCATTAAAAATGAGTAGTTCAAATGAGTTGCATAAGTTTATTGTTATTGATTCTACTCTAGTTAAAGCTTCAGAAGCATTTGAGTATAAATTCAAACACTAACATTAGAGAAAGTTTTCTTGGCAAAACACAACTTCTGCCTGTCTTTCAGCAAATTTGACAGTTGTTATTGAGACTAAAGCTTGTTCATGTCTTTTCATCACAGCTAGGTGACTTCTATCTAGAGCTTCACTGGGATTTTCAAAGTTGGGGTAAGCAATTGTATGCAATATAATCACTGTTTTTCTCTCAAACTTAAGTTCCCCCCTGGTTTGCATGTTGGAAAGTTCACAATCCAGTTCTCAAGATTTCAGTTTTAAAGAAAGGACAGGCAGTTTTTTGTTGAATTATTCTTGCTTATTCATTTTTGGAGCTGAATTCAGTTCTATAATCCAGTGACACAGTATGGGGGGTAAGCTGTTGTTTACTTTAAGATGTTGATGATTAGAAGAGTGAAATATTAACTTGTCTGTAGAGCAGTGGTTTGGACAGTTTACTGGAGTGACTGGACTTGGGGCATTGATTTCCTGGATTTCAGCCTATACTCTGGATGGAGACAGGCAGTGAAGTGCAACTGTAGGTTTTTCAGACCCCAGCTTCACCTCTGTGTTTCATTTGTGGGACTGTGTAACGTTATCTCAAGTTTCCACCTCCTCTTATCTGCAGAAGGAAAATCTAAAAAAAGTAGCAAAAATGTATTAACAACAAACAATGTGTGTGAATAAGGTCAAAATCTGGGAAGTGATACCTTATGTTACTGGTTGAAATTAAACAGTTATTTTATATAGTTTCAAACAGGCATAGTCTAACTATTTGCTGCACTGTGTCCCTCTTCCAGTGTTCATAGGAGGAATAAGCAGCCAGGCTGCCATCAAATGTTCAGCAGATATGGGACAAGCACCTCATTTTTCTAGGTGCCTGCTGTGTGCTGCACATTTCATGAGTGACTTCTTCATTGAAGAGTCAGCATTAAAGGGAGAGCAGAGCTAGGCATGGAGTAAGGACAGTGCTTGGTGAGGAGCCTACAGCCTGACCTGACCAGTGTGCTGGGGCAGGCAAAGTGTTGCCAGAGGTGAAGCCAACTTCTAGGGGTCTTCTTCTCCAGGAGCCTCACTCTGCCTCTCTTTGCATTATTTAATTTTTTCTATATTTTCTCTTTCTGGAAGGGAGAAAGATGCTCTGGGCAGTGCTTCTGTCTCAATATTGGTCCCCGAGGCTAATTGAATTTTACAGGTGGTCTTAGTTCTTTGAAGTTCATTCCAAGAAAGTGTTGAAGTGTCATTGTGTGGAACTGGTTTTGCTGCTGTAAAGTAAACTGTCCTTTTTAGAATAAGGGCAGCTCCAGTCTCCCCTGTCCATCTGGTAACACTATACTCACTCTCAGTTCCACAGGAGGTTTCATGTTTGCTTGATGTTTTAAGCTTACTGCCTTGGATATTTTTTTTCTGCTTGAGGTTGTTCTGCTTTAATTGTAGCTGGGCTTTCAGTTGGTGAAATGTATAAGTAAAGTATCAAATATTAGAATTAACATTTCAAACAACTAGAAGAAGAGTTACTCAAATTTATAAATAAATGTGACTGGCGACATTTTAAATTACGTCCTGATGTGGAAAGCAGTCTGCAGAATTACAGATCAGTTTTGCAGTTACTGAATGGAAATAAACCCTGGTATTAGTCAGTTGTATTTGTGGTGAGATGGTGGAAAATGGGCATGCTGTGTTTGTGCTGAAGGCAGCAAGAGTCAGGCTGGTGTGTAGTTCTAAGAGAAGTACTTTGCAGAGGAGCCTCAGTGTCGTAACTGCATCCTTTCTCCCTACCTGTAGTGCCTTTACTCTCCCGAATTCTGCCTTCTGATGCATGTAAAATACACAAACAAGGTATCAATATCAGGTGAGTGCTGATACCCTCTTTCTTATCTGAGTCATAAACACCTGCATGTTAATGAAGGCAATTTCAAATAAATGAGCTGTCAGTCTTGTGCAGAAATGCTACTGGTTGGATCTATGTAGTAAAGGAATGATCTAGTTTCTCTTTTTAAAATGCTTAATGTGACAGCTTGACAAAGCCAGTGGAGTGTCTGCAGGAGTCTCCAGGCTCAGCTCCTTAACTAGCTCAGTTTGAGGGCTTGGGTTCAAATGTCTTTTCTGTCCTTTACTTTAGATTCCAAAGTTTAAAATGAACAAAAAGTCAAGCATATGATTCAGAAGATTCCATCTGTAGAAAATTTTGTTCTATTAAAGCTCTTACCTTAGGTGTGTGAACTGACTTAGGTCAAATTTGAGTGTGAGACCATTTTTTCCCTTCTCATTTCTGCCTGCTCTATTTGTATAAGGCTGGAGGTATGAGACTGGCAGAGTGGAGATAGCTGCAGATTCCTTCTTGAAATAAGGCCATTATGTGATGATGATTAAGCAGTCACCCCTTAGAGCTGAACTGGTCATTAAATGCAGGTTTTTTAGCCATCTTTGTTAAAAAGTGAATATTCTATTGATAATGGATATGAATTGCTGGAGAGATCTTTGTCCTTGGCACCAGCTTCTAGTTATTCAGGTCAGAGGAAGCATTTCTTTTGTGTTGGTGAGGGGAAGAATTACAAATAGCAGCTGAAATAAGTCAAATTAAAAAAAAAAATCAGTCTGTTTCTTAGTCCTCTTCATAATTTGGGTCATGTCCTAATACTGTTAGGGCTGTGTCTTGTAGAATGGGATGCTGATCCCATGGATGGTGGTGTTAGTGTGCAGCACAGGCTCTGTCAGCTCCTCATGCTGGCACTTCTGAAATGCAGCTTTCTGGAGAAGGCTTCACCTTTATCTATGAAGTTACTGTCAGAAGAGTTTGAAATGTTTTTATAATAGTAGAGATGTTAGACATGCTAGAGTGTGAAACTTGTTAATAGCTTATTTTTAAATTTCTGCATCCAGGCTTCACTTACGAACTATTCCATAACGTCTTGGGCTTTAGTGTGTTTGGTTTGATTAAAAAAAAATGCTTCTGCTTGCACACTGGCCTTCCTAGTGTATCTGAGTGTGTGTGGGTAACTTCTTCTAACCTGTTGGTGCATTTCCACAGGCTGGACACAACTCTCATAGACTTTACCGATATGAAGTGCCAACGAGGGGATTTAAGCTTCATTTTTAATGGTGATGCTGCTCCCTCCGAATCTTTTGTAGTTTTAGACAATGAACAAAAAGTTTACCAGCGAATACATCACGAGGTAAAGATCTCTCTGAATGCATGGTGCGAAATACCTCAGGCTTTTCCTTCACATCAGAAGTCTGACTTCTTTTATTAAGCAAAAATGTGCCTCTCACAAAGAGACAAACAAGCTCCAGAGAAATGCAAACCAATGATATTTTTTGTTCAGTTGTTACAGCTTAATCTGTACAGGTGACATAACATTTTGTTATGAAAACCAGGGCTTTTGAATACAGGCTTCTAAAGGAGGGAAAAGCTAGAAGGGGAATCTTTTGGAAAAAGCTTTTCTTCCTCTGAATAGGCAAATATGCTTTCAATTATGATGCATGCTGCTTTTAATATTTCCAGTGTGCTGCATCCATGTGTCCCCACGGGGGGTTTCAGACCTGCTTGTCACTGCTGTGTGTCCCTGTGGCCCTGACAATGTGGGGGTGGGACTCGTTGGGCCCCTTGTGTTCAATCAAGTTGGTGATGATGGCTTTAGCCACCAGTCACTTCAGCATATGGATCTTTGCCCGTGGAAAGGGTGTGGGTAAACCCCAGGTGGATGCTTTATTTGCATTAAATATTGAAGATTAAGCTATTTGTTAACCATTTGGCCAGAGCTTCTATAAAACAGTTTGAAAATTCAGGAAATGCTAGCTCTGGGAAGAGTTCCAAAGGAAAAGCTTTATTGCTTTTTATTTTTTGAAAAAAAACAACAATATATATTTAGAGAAAGTCATCAATATTATTAATGGGAATTTTTCTTCTAGGAATCTGAGGTGGAAACAGAGGAAGAGGTTGACATTTTGATGAGCAGTGATATCTACTCAGCAACATTATCAACCAAGTCAATCACCTTCACACGTGCCCAGACAGGATGGCTCTTCC